TACATTATATTCATGAAAAACATGCCCATATGACTGGTGTATTTTAGTCACTTGCATCTTCTCCAGGCCAACACACTGCTCAGAGAGCAACAGGATAAGTATCTTTTATTTTTGTGCTGCCTCATGTGTTATTAACTGGAAGAGGCTAACTGAGATTACCAAAAAATTAATTAAAGAAAAAGGAAATTACTTGGAAAAATATTATACAGACTTTGGATATGTTTTTAGTGTCATGCTTTGTAACCCATCAACACTTTGTGTTTCAGGGATTTTTTGATAATTTGGATATGATAATCTTTTACCTTTTTTTTTTTTTTTTACACATTAATGTTAGTGACTGAGCTTTGTTTTCAATAATAGTTTATTTTACTTGATGGTTTTATGAAAATGTGATGTTAAGTGAACATCGATAATAGTACAGTCTGCCCCTAACATACATGGGGGTTAGGTAACAGAGATACCCTTGAATGTTAAAAATCCGCTTATTTTTGCTGCCCCCCCCTAAAAAACACCCATGGCCCCCCATGTCCTTATTTACCGTATATACATGTGTGTAGTTCGAGTTTTTAAGATCAAATTTTTTGGCCAAAAATTGGGGGTCGACCTCTAAACGGGTAATAGTTTTGTATGGTAGAAAAATATTTACCAGTAACTACCAGTAAACAATGGAAACGACGCACCACCAGCTGTGAGTGTTGGTACAGTTGCCAGGGCAGATCTCTTGCGTCATCATAGCAAGCCCAAAGTAGCCAAATGCATGGTATGGTAGCACAGGACGATGTAAAACATAAAGTATTCATTTTTTAAAGTTTATTTATAGATACATAAATTTCTGTTCATTATATTTGAAACATCAATCTTTGTTAATTAAATTTGAAACAAAAGAAAACTACGATACCGTATTTCTAAATACCGGGTCTTTTCATTAAAATGTTACATCACAAGTATATTTTACCTTAACTATGATTGAATGAATATATTCTCAGAAATAAATATGGAAATGTAATATTTTTGCTGAAGTGACGTACGTATTACAGTGGAAAGTGGGATAAAATCATGACGAAAACAATGACTTGCGCGTTCTTTCGTTGTTCAAAAGATTTTACCGTAATCGCTTTTCGAATGGTTTTCAGTTAAAAACTGTCGTATTACAATAATATTCTATCCTAATTCGCTTGAATAAATAGTACGATACCATATTTCTGAATGTTTTCATTAAAATCCACCAAAATCATTTTCCTTGTCATAGTCCAAAGCACCAAACAGCTCCTCCCAGTCTTCTCCTTGAACAGGGCTAGAGGGTACGTGTTTTTCGAATCGTTTTCAGTTAAAAAACTGTTACATCACACGTATATTTTACCTAAACTGCACCTGAATGAATATATTCTCAGAAATAAATAGTAGTTTTGCTGAAACGTGATGTATTTCAATGTAAAATAGGATAAAATACATGACGAAAACATAAGACTTTACCTAACCTTCCGATGTTCAAGAGAAGTTACTCGTTTTTTTAATAGTTTTCGGTTAAAATAGTTATATTACAATGATATTCTATTCATACTGTGCTTGATATAATACATTCACGGAAATGTAATATTTTTGCTGAAATGACGTACGTATTACAGTGGAAAGTGGGATAAAATCGTGACGAAAACAATGACTTTGTTTCGCTCAAAAGATGTTACCGTAATCGCTTTTCGAATGGTTTTCAGTTAAAAAACTGTTGCATCACAAGTGAATTAGGATGGAATATTATTGTAATACAACAGTTTTTTATCTGAAAACCATTCGAAAAGCGATTACGGTAACATCTTTTGAACGAAAGAAGCGAAAGTCAATGATTCGTCACTTTCCACTGTAACACGTACGTCATTTCAGCAAAAATATTACATTTCCATATTCTCAGAAATAAATAGTAGTTTTGCTGAAACGTAATGTATTTCAATGTAATTTAGGATAAACTACAGTGAGTTCTGCTATAACGCGTGTTTTGATAACGCGAATTTGCTCTAACGCGATTTATGAATTCGGAACAATATTTGTATAACGCGATCGCTTGTTTGCTATAACGCGATTTTTGCTTACTATTTCTCCAATTTTGTGGTATTAACTGTGAATATGGTAAAGAAGAATATCTCCAAAAAGCATTCTGATGATAGAATTCCCGGTGATTATCGTAAAAGAAAGGATATAACACTTGAAGAGAAGCTTGATGTTATCAACCTCAAAATCACCCTTCTCCCCCATCAAGTTACATTCATATTTTTTCAAGGTAAAGTGTTAAATTTACTGTATGATTTCATTATTAGATATGAATGTAACATTTATTTAGACTGTGCTATCCTTTGTGTTAGGCTAACTACTAAATTTTTTCGATTTCGAGTAATCTGCGCCTAACCCTATTTTCTCCATAAGCCCTGTTATTTCTATTACGCGATTTTCTATAACACGATATTTTACAAGAACACAACTATCGCGTTATAGCAGAACTACCTGTACATGAAAACAAGACTTTACCTAGCCTTCCGATGTTCAAGATATGTTACTCGTTTTTCAATAGTTTTCGGTTAAAATACTGTTACTATATTAGAGATATTCTATTCATACTGTGCTTGATATAATCATTCATGGAAATGTAATATTTTTGCAACTACAATGCTGATGTCAACACAAGCGTGGTTACAGCGAAACTGACTGACGGAGCGAGCGCTCCCGCGGGGTGGCGCGGGCGATGTGTGTTTGTGTGTGTGTGTGGTGTCGCACGTGATTTGAATAATGTATATTCCTTTGAATGTATATTCCTCCGGCGGCAATCCGCGTATTTGCAAATCCGTGTAAGTTAAACCCGCATATGTTAAGGGCTGACTGTATTAACTACAGAAGTACTACTTGGCTACTGTCAAATATGTCGTATAGACTGGCACTGGAAGAGTGGAATGTGCAGCTGAAGTTTTGTGTCTGTTAATTTTTAATCATAAGAATTATCAGTACATTTGACCTTAAACTTTGCATGCAGTTTTTTCCTCACCTTTGCAAGTCCTCTCCTTGTCTTGCTGCTAGAATTGAAATTTGTACAAACTTTTCCTTTATAAGCTGTCATTTATTTTCTTTAACTGCTGTCTGATTTGTGGTTCATCATAGATCAGTTGACACATTGCTGTAAAAACATGCATACACACATCATTTATTCCTGTCTGTCCCATACGGCACCTACCTTAACCTGTTCTTCCCTCTCTGTCTTTTTCCAAGCATTAGCTTCTGAATTATGTACAGTATCAAACTTTTTGCTTCACATTTTCTGCGTGGTCTACCACCTGAAGAATGCTGGTTGGTACCCTAACTTTCAAAGACTGTGATTGGCTGTCTATCCAAACATTTCCTTTGCGTTTACATTAACTTCTTTCCATATTTCACATTATCTGCATCCTGCTCACCCCACATAGTGCATTAAAGTAATTTATTTATTTTTCATCTTAACTTTCTTCTACTTCCATGGATGTACTGTACAGTATTGTTAAAATGGACAGTATCTGCTAGGACGGGTCCATTGACTTCGGAAATGCTACATGCAACTTGTGATGTTTCGGGAAGGTTGGGATGCGTGACTCTGTGGCATTCTGTTTCTACTACATTTGGTAACCGAACATCATATTAATTATGCCAAAATACACCTTGCATTACAACATGCCCTTCAAATTCACGGAGGTTAGGTTCTTAAAATGGCCGCGAATCACCAAATCCGTGAATAACATTTGCGGACGGGGGGGTACATTTTTACTTATGTACAAAGAAATGTGTATTCCCTTTATGTGTTTGCCCTTAGGACAATTATTTCTTTTACCTGTATTGTATATACAGATATATGTGCGTGTATGTGTTTGTGTCTACACACACACACTAACGTATGCGTCACCAGCCTGGTCGTCTTCTCTCGACTCCACCCAACATCGTCAGCTAGAGAAGGTACAGAAAAGGGCCTGCAGAATCATGCTTGGCTCAGAATACTCAGGCTACACCAACGCTCTCTCCACCCTGGAAATGCCATCCCTCAGTGACCTCCACCACCAAGCACTGGAAAGGTTTGGCAGCCAACTAATGCACCACCCTCTTCATCGCCACCTCCTGCCACCGGCAGCCCCCCACCCACCACGCGCAGTCCGCCACTACAACAAAATCCAGCCCATAAGAGCCTGCACTGATAGATACAAGAACAGCACCATCCCATCTATTGTTAAAATAATAAACAACTCCTGATTTATGTACTGTACAGCCCTGTAAATGTATTCAATGAATATTATATCATTATGTCTAAATCAAATGTAAGTCTGTATTTTTTCAGCCACTGGCTGCAACTCTATGAATAAACTGTTTATTACTATTATTATTATTATTATTATTATTTTTAGTATTACAGGTATTATTATATACAATAGTACAGGTAAAGGAAATTACTGACTGTAGAATGAATGGCTCCCTGTCCCGGCCGCAAAAATGCTCGCAAATTTAAAACTACCTGCAGACATTCTTGAGTACTGTACATCCAGGGTGTCATCCGCAAATAATCAAGGACTGCAAAATAGAAATTGCGAATTATCCAGGCGTACTGTACTTATGTTAAACTATATACCAAAGTAAATGCATGTCCTAGTATCTATCATCTGTGGTCTCATAATGTTTCATATAGTGTGTGGACAGATACTTTTTTGAGAGACTGTGCCCATGTTTAATGTTTGTAAAGTTTTCCTGGCATAATGCTGTTGTGTACCCCCAAAAAATTTTGATGTATGATACAAATGAGCATATAACTATTACTGTCATCTTGCTTGCAGCTTCTCTCCAAATGGTCTCCCACAAGTTACTTTTCTTTTTCAAAGTGGGATTTATGTGTTTGGCTTTCCTAAAGGAGAATAATTTCTTTTCTCTTTATTTTAATTTGATTCTTTAGTTAAAGATAATGTCAGCAGCTTAACTAAGAAAATTATTTGGTGGTATTTTTACAGATGGGAGGATCTTGCTCAGTTTCAAATCATCATACCCCTTCTTCAAGAAGAAGCTGTGAGTGTAGTTGATAATAATAGCCGGACGAATATTCCACAAGGACGTACTGCTCCAATAATTGAGAGTCTACCAGTACATCAAAGGCAAGGTATATCTGATTCAGTAGTTCCTCCCGGGATTGGCAGAGGTGGCAGCTATCCGTCACCTAATAATGGAATTGAAGCACCTGGAGGATCTACTGCTACTGACAGCCCTCGGAGCAGTCGAACCTTGAGAAGGCCGGCAGCCAGACCATCCATGCGAGCTAATAGTGGTTTGGGTGCTGCAGAAGATCCCATTGTATTAGGAGCTAATGAACCACTCTCAACTTACAGAGCGAGTCAAAGACAAGGCCGATCACAAACCGGAGGAAACCAGACTGGACATCCTCCTGATACAAGAAACCCCCAGCCTCAAAGAAATGAGCCACAGTCTCCTGTACCTGGGACTTCAGGAACAATAACAGTGAGGAACAGCGATGATTTCACGGATTCAGACTCATCCACATTGTCGGGGGATGAAAGTTATTATGGGGGTTATGGGCGGTGCTTCAACTGTGGTATGTATAGTTCAAAATAGTTACAGTATATTAAGAAATTTGTAGCTCTTTTTTGAGGTAGCCCGAATTGTTTTCCCCACATTTTATGTGTGGTTGAGTTGCTAGCTTTGTTTATTCATGGAAACAGCATAGTGGGGGGGGGGAGAAAATGAGATGCATTCACTTGAAACTGCAGGTGGCAACTGCTACACTAATGTGATGCTGAAACAGAATGTAATGTTTTCCACCAATCTTTTATATTGGTGCATGGTCTTTTATGCAAAGATAGTCATTGGGTGAAATGCGTCAGGGAATTCTACATGTAACTTCCCCCCCTCAATCGCAATATAAAGTGTGGTAGGTCACTCATGGTGAATTTTTAGATTTTTCCATGCTCCATTTACCTTTGTGTGCAGTACATGGCACTATTATTTCAGTATAGAGATGTATGTACATTATGGATCTTTATTTACTCGCTTCATACCTTTCAAGTCTTTAGAAACTTTATTACCCATAAGAGTGACAAGAATCTAACTATTCCTGAGTTACCAGATAAGTTTCTAAACATGGATATAACATGAACTTGTACTGTACTAAGTTACTAATACCCAGATACTGTATACGTTGTTCCCTCACATGGGTCCGCATCCCTGAGGTGATGTGTTAGTTCAAGGGCTTATGATAAGAGTGGCCACTTCTCAGTCTTGCTTTTGTAAAATTCTTTCATTAACTCTATGCACAAGCCACTGTGTGTGTTTCCTTTTTCTCAGAAATTTTGGCCAACTTATATGTACAGTAGCTTGTTTTCTAAATACTATGTATTAAATTGGATGTAACATTTACACAAAGCTGAGATCTCTCACTCTTTAAAATATGTATTAATAGTCTTGCTCTTTTCTCAACAATATGGGGTGAAGATCGAACTAATTGTTAGGAAAAGCTGTAAAACTCAAGATTTTTGTCATGGTTGAATGTGTTATGGTTATTTTTAAGGTTATTGGTCTGTTGGATGTCTTGCTTGTCCCCATCACATACTGCGCTGGTCCCTGGCCAAATGGGCCCAACCTAACCTTTCCATTTGGTTTGGGGGTCAGTTGTAATGGGTCCCAGGCTTGTAGATTAGTTTAGATTGAGGTCCACATGAACTGCAACCTACACACTGAATTCTTTCTTGAATTTTAGGTTAGTCACTAGCTATACTTTTCATTGCACTGTACCCTTCTGAATCTCCCACATGTCCACACCCTTCAGTTATTTCTCACATTTTCTTTTTCTATCCTCATAATCATTTTGATATTGTTGTACTATACTTCATGATATTTTTACTGCTTACAATATTTACTCATACATTGGAGGCTTATTCCTTCTCGTCACTAAGGCTCACAGGATTCCACCAAATTTCATTCCAGTTCTACTGTCATTGCTAGCCTTTGTTAAACTTGATTCCAAATATTTTAATTCATTCAACACCTCTTAACTCCTTATTCCTAGTGAAAGTACCCATGTAAGCACAAAAACTTTATCGTTGTTTGTATACTTTACAAAAACAGTACTGTATAACATTATCCTTTATGCATTACCAGTTTAGGGACTAACATAAAATAATGTATTGTAATTCACATTCAGGATGACTACATCAGGGGTCAGCTTCTAGAATAGGGAGATATTTTACGATAGTATGAAAAAGAAATTCATTACAAATCTCAACAAAGAATTTATCTGGGTACACTGAGTAGGTGTTAGTCTAGGTCATGTGTCAGCTCTTGACCCACTTTTTTGAGGATATTAAATTACAGTAATATCTCCGTTAGCCGGAATCCCTCAAACCCGGAGCTCTCCGATAGCCGGAATTTAAATTTTCTGAAAATTTCCACGAAAATTTTCCCGATACTCAAAAAATTCTGGGGATGGGGGAGTTTTTTCGGGTATGAGAGATGAGAATCGGGCGTATTTTCTGGAAATTTCAAGAAAAATATTCCGTTACCCGGAAAATTCCGGGGATGAGGGATTTCTTTCTGGCTTTGAGAGTCGTCTCGATACCTGGAAATCTCTCATTCCCAGAAGTGCTCCACACCGATTGTTCTGACTAACTGAGATATCACTATTATTAATTTTTTTTTTTGTATATTGTATATACTGTATACACTTACCTTCTCTTGTTTAACTCTATCACAGTTTTTAGGCAGTTTATAGGGTTTACTGTATGTATGGGCAGTCATGGTGATGCCTGGTAGGTTTATTCTGTTGATGCAATCAGTGATAAATCAACTTTTTTTTTTCCAATTGTATGAGTTTGTAAATGGTGTGAATATGTCCTTTGGTATTTTTAATTACTCTATTATAGCAAATGTGTTGAGCTGTGTTGTTCCCCTTCCACAGCTTATTTGTTCGATCTAAGAATTCATAATTGACAAGAAAGAAGATTAGGCATTGAGCATTTAAAAGCAGTGTTGAACATTTCTTAAATTTCATTGAGATAAGTAATGAATAGGAAAGTCATACTGTACAATATTGTATAGACTGAATATATGTGGTGTGAGTTCAATTATTTCACTCTTAGAGTTGTTTCTAGTTTAGAAAATTAATGAATATATTCTGCCATATTTGGATTGGTGAATTTAGACATATTCAGGGGTTAGATATTTTCCTTGTCTGTAATGAAAGGTATATATTCACAGACATTTAGACTTGTAAAACTAGGATGTAGGAAGTGATAGTTAAGCCTGATGATATCTTTCGGTCTTGTTGTGGGAGAGGAACACCGGGAGAGAAAACATTTGTTGTATCAGTTAGAAAAGTATATGAAGAAAGAGAGTACTGTATGCTGCTCTCAATCCTGACCACCCAGCACCAGTAGTGGGCAAGGATACACTAGAGGGAGAAACATTAAGAAAAAAGTTACATCATTATTTTCTAACAGCAGATATTTCAATTTTATTCTGAAAAAGTTCATTAATCTGTAATACACTTGATAGATGTGAACACTGTACAGGTATCCCCTCCTTTACAAACGCTCGAGATATGAAAATTTGCTTATACGAATTTCCAAATTTAATACATCGTTCTTATTTAACAAAAGTTACCCTTGCTTATACGAATTTTGGTCCCAGCAAAAAATTTAAATCGTGCATTGCTGTGGCCAGTATTAAGGCCACACAGTCAAGTTTTATGCAAATGGTGGTTGTGTTAAACTTTAATTTAGCTCTTCCTAAATGTATTTAGCTGCATATTTTCATTCAGATATTATTTTATTAATATTTTTAATGTGTAAAGTAGTAAGTTACGGTACAGTAGTCGGGTATTATTTTTCATTAGTTAGGTAGGTTTTTGTTCGTGAACTGATTTCATGTTTTGGGGGTATTACACAGTACAAGTTTTCTTGTCATCGGGGAACCAAGCCCACTTTTTTCCCATTTGTTCGAGATACAAAAATTCACCTGACAAATCGTTTTCCAGAAACCTAACCCATTTGTTAAGCAAGGGGTACCTGCAACTGTCTGGGCATTCTAGATAATATTTGGATATGTACTCTTATGAAAACTGTGGATGCTGTATTATTTTGCACCAGAACTTGATTACATGTTTTTTTTATGCTTTTCGTATCTTTTAGGTCGTCGTGGTCACTGGGCCGGCGGCTGTCCTTACAACTGGTAAGACTCCATCAACATTCAACTTTCATTTGCATATTTTGATACTACAAGACTGGACTCCGCTCCCTCATATCAACTGAATATCCTCGCATAAAGTGTTTTCCTTCTGTATAAACTAAAGTTTTGCAAAAATCAAAGTGTGATATTTTTGTCTCAAATAATATGTCAGTGGAATAGCCTCACTCTGACGGCAAAGCTGAGAAGGCGTCGGTCAGGAAAGCAACGTGATAAAAGAATCTCATAAATACCAGACTTAAGGTTCATAATGACAACAGCTTCATTTATATACGCTCCTATATTGCATCAAATCTGAACTGTACTTGATGCCTCTGAACATTCCAGAATGCTCAAATTTGGATGTACTGTATTATTTGAATATTTTTTTTTCCCACCAGTTGGAAATCATATGCAACTGCCATTGTTCAGTAATCTTTATTTTGTACCATTTTCAAAGGTGTCAGATTATTTAAGGGGTATATTTTTATTCCCGTCTTTTGAAATCGTTCAATTTATAGAAAAAATTTCAATCTCATAGTACAGTACAGTAGTCCTGTGAACTAGAGATGTGTTGATTAATTCACCAGTACTGTAGTGACTCCTTTTATGTTGATATATAATACAGGATAGTATTTTCTACTTTGTTTTATTTATTTATTTTTTCATAAAATTTTCTTCCCAACTGTTTTTCCCATCCCCTTTGTGTGAGGTTTGTTTATGTCCTTAATCCAACACTTCACATAGGAATGGGAAAAGGTAACAGCTAATGGGTAGATATGTACTGCAGTATAACATTTTAATTAACAAGTGCTCTACTATACTGTATATGGTAAGGGACAGGAATGGGCAAATATTGTTTTGTATCCTTTCATTTGCTTGTCTAAGTTTGATATGTAATGTAAAAGAATTATTTTATGTTTGAAATAAAAGACTTTGAGTGCTAAATTTGTTGTTACAAAAAGTTTAATGGTTATTTTTTTTTTCATTTATGTAATCATGTCATGGTCCTCAGTAACATTATTTAGATATGTTGCCCAACTCAGGTATGTTTCATGTTCTGGAACTGTACTTCAATTATTTGAATATAAAAGTTCAGTACAGTATCATAATTAAATGATGTGATATATAAAAAGCATAAATTTTACTTTACTTTTCTGTGGAAGAAGTTGAAGTTTTTATTTGAGGCCATAGCTCTCTCCTGTACTTGATTAGTCTTCTTTATCTTAAATAAATTGAAGATCTTGTGGGTTTTTTATGAATTTGTCACTTGTACCTAAACAGGGCAGAGTAGAAGTTAGGGTAAGAGCTCAGTGTTTTTTACAGAATGTGGATTTGTGGTGCCTCTGTTTGGAATAACTGTACAGTGAGTTCTGCTATAACGCGTGTTTTGACAACGCGAATTGGCTCTTACGCGATTTATGAATAGAGGAACGATATTTGTATAACGCGAACACTTGTTTGCTGTAACGCGGTTTTTGTTTACTATTTCTCCAATTTTGTGGTATTAACTGAATATGGTAAAGAAGAATATCTCCAAGAAGCGTTCTGGTGATCGCATTCCCAGTGATGATCGTAAAAGAAAGGCTATAACCCTTGAAGAGAAGCTCGATGTTATCTACCTCAAAATCACCCTTCTCCCCCATCAAGTTATATTCATATTTTTTCAAGGTAAAGTGTTACATTTACTGTATGATTTCATTATTAGATATGAATGTAACATTTATTTAGACTGTGCTATCCTTTGTGTTAGGCTAACTACTAAATTTTTTTCGATTTCGAGTAGTAATCTGCACCTAACCCTATTTTCTCTATAATCCCTGTTATTTCTATTACGCGAATTTCTATAACACGATGTTTTACAAGAACACAATTATCGCGTTATAGCAGAACTGACTGTACAGGGTATTCACCAACATTCATTTTGGATACTGCAGCACCTTGGAAGAGAGTTTCTTGAGGCAAGCACTACTTGGTGGATCTCTTTGTGGTCTGTCATGCAAGATTTGAAGTACTTAACTAGTCCACTGAAAATTATCTTGAAGGAGCATTTTGAAGTAAAACATAGCCAGCGATGCCTAGCTCAACTTGATGCTTGGTGTGAAGTCTCCTCAGTAATCTTTATTTTGTACTATTTTCAAAGGTGTCAGATTATTTAAGGGGTATATTTTTATTCCCGTCTGTTGAAATCGTTCAATTTATAGAAAAAATTTCAATCTCATAGTACAGTACAGTAGTCCTGTGAACTAGAGATGTGTTGATTAATTCACCAGTACTGTAGTGACTCCTTTTATGTTGATATATAATACAGGATAGTATTTTCTACTTTGTTTTATTTATTTTTTTTTTCATAAAATTTTCTTCCCAACTGTTTTTCCCATCCCCTTTGTGTGAGGTTTGTTTATGTCCTTAATCCAACACTTCACATAGGAATGGGAAAAGGTAACAGCTAATGGGTAGATATGTACTGCAGTATAACATTTTAATTAACAAGTGCTCTACTATACTGTATATGGTAAGGGACAGGAATGGGCAAATATTGTTTTGTATCCTTTCATTTGCTTGTCTAAGTTTGATATGTAATGTAAAAGAATTATTTTATGTTTGAAATAAAAGACTTTGAGTGCTAAATTTGTTGTTACAAAAAGTTTAATGGTTATTTTTTTTTTCATTTATGTAATCATGTCATGGTCCTCAGTAACATTATTTAGATATGTTGCCCAACTCAGGTATGTTTCATGTTCTGGAACTGTACTTCAATTATTTGAATATAAAAGTTCAGTACAGTATCATAAATAAATGATGTGATATATAAAAAGCATAAATTTTACTTTACTTTTCTGTGGAAGAAGTTGAAGTTTTTATTTGAGGCCATAGCTCTCTCCTGTACTTGATTAGTCTTCTTTATCTTAAATAAATTGAAGATCTTGTGGGTTTTTTATGAATTTGTCACTTGTATCTAAACAGGGCAGAGTAGAAGTTAGGGTAAGAGCTCAGTGTTTTTTACAGAATGTGGATTTGTGGTGCCTCTGTTTGGAATAACTGTACAGTGAGTTCTGCTATAACGCGTGTTTTGACAACGCGAATTGGCTCTTACGCGATTTATGAATAGAGGAACGATATTTGTATAACGCGAACACTTGTTTGCTGTAACGCGGTTTTTGCTTACTATTTCTCCAATTTTGTGGTATTAACTGAATATGGTAAAGAAGAATATCTCCAAGAAGCGTTCTGGTGATCGCATTCCCAGTGATGGTCGTAAAAGAAAGGCTATAACCCTTGAAGAGAAGCTCGATGTTATCTACCTCAAAATCACCCTTCTCCCCCATCAGGTTATATTCATATTTTTTCAAGGTAAAGTGTTACATTTACTGTATGATTTCATTATTAGATATGAATGTAACATTTATTTGACTGTGCTATCCTTTGTGTTAGGCTAACTACTAAATTTTTTTCGATTTCGAGTAGTAATCTGCACCTAACCCTATTTTCTCTATAATCCCTGTTATTTCTATTACGCGAATTTCTATAACACGATGTTTTACAAGAACACAATTATCACGTTATAGCAGAACTGACTGTACAGGGTATTCACCAACATTCATTTTGGATACTGCAGCACCTTGGAAAAGAGTTCTTGAGGCAAGCACTACTTGGTGGATCTCTTTGTGGTCTCATGCAAGATTTGAAGTACTTAACTAGTCCACTGAAAATTATCTTGAATGAGCATTTTGAAGTAAAACATAGCCAGCGATGCCTAGCTCAACTTGATGCTTGGTGTGAAGTCTTCTCAGTAATCTTTATTTTGTACTATTTTCAAAGGTGTCAGATTATTTAAGGGGTATATTTTTATTCCCGTCTGTTGAAATCGTTCAATTTATAAAAAAAATTTCAATTTCATAGTACAGTACAGTAGTCCTGTGAACTAGAGATGTGTTAATTAATTCACCAGTACTGTAGTGACTCCTTTTATGTTGATATATAATACAGGATAGTATTTTCTACTTTTTTTTTTTTTTTTTTTTTCTTAAAATTTTCTTCCCAACTGCTTTTCCCATCCCCTTTGTGTGAGGTTTGTTTATGTCCTTAATCCAACACTTCACATAGGAATGGGAAAAGGTAACAGCTAATGGGTAGATATGTACTGCAGTATAACATTTTAATTAACAAGTGCTCTACTATGCTGTATATGGTAAGGGACAGGAATGGGCAAATATTGTTTTGTATCCTTTCAATTGCTTGTCTAAGTTTGATATGTAATGTAAAAGAATTATTTTATGTTTGAAATAAAAGACTTTGAGTGCTAAATTTGTTGTTACAAAAAGTTGAATGGTTATGTTTTTTTCCTTTATGTAATAATGTCATGGTCCTCAGTAACCTTTTACCTTTATGTAATAATGTCATTGTCCTCAACATTTTTTCTTTTATGTAATCATGTCATGGTCCTCAGTAACATTATTTAGATATGTTGCCCAACTCAGGTATGTTTCATGTTCTGGAACTGTACTTCAATTATTTGAATATAAAAGTTCAGTACAGTATCATAATTAAATGATGTGATATATAAAAAGCATAAATTTTACTTTTCTTTTCTGTGGAAGAAGTTGAAGTTTTTATTTGAGGCCATAGCTCTCTCCTGTACTTGATTAGTCTTCTTTATCTTAAATAAATTGAAGATTTTGTGGGTTTTTTATGAATTTGTCACTTGTACCTAAACAGGGCAGAGTAGAAGTTAGGGTAAGAGCTCAGTGTTTTTTACAGAATGTGGATTTGTGGTGCCTCTGTTTAAATACAGTGAGTTTTATAACGCTGCGAAAGTGACAACGCTTACTGCTTCTTACGCCGTATTTATGAATAGAGGAATTATTATTTTGTATAACGCCAACACTTTGCTTGCTGTGGGCAATATTTCTCCAATTTTGTGGTATTAACCGGAATATGGTAAAGAAGAATATCTCCAAGAAGCGCTCTGGTGATCGCATTCCCAGTGATGTCGTGAAAAGAAAGGCTATACTGAAGAGCAGCTCGATGTTATGCCTAATGTCAAAATCACCCTCTCCCCATCAGGTTATATTCACAGTTTTTTCAAGGTAAGTGTTGTTATTTACTGTATGATTAGATACGAATGCAAATTTGTTTGACTGTTATCCTTGTGTTAGCTAACTACTAACTCTTTCGATGTAGTAGACTAGTATCTAACTATTTTCTTATATCCTCGTTATTTCTATTACGCTTAATTATAACGACGAGGTTTCACAAGAACACACTATCACGCGACAGCAGAACTTCGGGACTGCACAGGGTATCTTCACCAACATTCATTTTGGATACTGCACCACCTTGAAAAAGAGTTCCTTGAGGCAAGTACTACTTGGTGGATCTCTTTGTGGTCTCATGCAAGATTTGAAGTGGTAGTTCTTGCTATAACGCATAATTGTGTTCTCTTGTAAATATCGTGGTATAGAAAATCGCTGTAATAGAAATAACAGGGCTTATGGAGAAAAATAGGGTTAGGTGCAGATACTCAAATCGAAAAATTTAGTAGTTAGCCTAACACAAAGGATAGCACGGTCTAAATAAATGTTACATTCATATCTAATAATGAAATCATACAGTAAATGTAACACTTTTACTTGATGGGGAGAAGGTGATTTTGAGGTTGATAAAATCGAAAGCCTTCTAGTAAGTTATATCCTTTTTTACTTATCATCACCAGGACATCCTTATCACCGAACGCTTTCCTTTTGTTGATATTCTTCTACTACATTCACAAAATTGGAGAAATAGTGTTGTAACGCCTATAGCAAACGCTGCTCTGTTATGCCAAATATCGCTCCTAATTCATAAATCGCTAGGAGCAAATTGCTACATCAAAACACGCCATATAGCAGAAATCACTGTACTTAACTAGTCCACTGAAAATTATCTTGAATGAGCATTTTGAAGTAAAACATAGCCAGCGTATGCCTGTGCCCAACTTGATGCTTGGTGTGAAGTCTTCTGTGCACCTTTATTTTGTACTACCAAAGGTGTCAGATTATTTAAGGTATATTTTATTCCGCTCGTTGAAATCCTAATCTTATAAAAAATTTCAATTTCATAGTACAGTACAGTAGTCCTGTGAACTAGAGATGTGTTAATTAATTCACCAGTACTGTAGCGACTCCTTTTATGTTGATATATAATACAGGATAGTATTTTTCTACTTTTTTTTTTTTCTAAAATTTCTTTCCTAATCAAGCTTTTCCCATCCCCTTTGTGTGTGAGGTTTGTTTATGTCCTTAATCCAACACTTCACATAGGAATGGGAAAAGGTAACAGCTAATGGGTAGATATGTACCGCAGTATAACATTTTAATTAATGCGCTCTACTATGCTGTATATGGTAAGGGACAGGAATGGGCAAATATTGTTTTGTATCCTTTCAATTGCTTGTCTAAGCTCTTGATATGTAATGTAAAAGAATTATTTTATGTTTGAAATAAAAGACTTGAGTGCTAAATTTGTTGTTACAAAAGTTGAATGGTTATGTTTTTTTCCTTTATGTAATAATGTCATGGTCCTCAAAGTAACCTTTACCTTTATGTAATAATGTCATTGTCCTCAACATTTTTCTTTTTATGTAATCATGTCATGGTCCTCAGTAACATTATTTAGATATGTTGCCCAACTCAGGTATGTTTATGTTCCTGAACTGTACTTCAATTATTTGAATATAAGTTCAAAGTACAGTATCATAATTAAATGATGTGATATATAAAAGCATAAATTTTACTTTCTTTCTGTGGAAGAAGTTGAAGTTTTTTATTTGAGGCCATAGCTCTCTCCTGTACTTGATTAGTCTTTTATCTTAAATAAATTGAAGATTTGGTGGGTTTTTTATGAATTTGTCACTTGTACCTAAAACAGGGCAGAGTAGAAGTTAGGGTAAGAGCTCAGTGTTTTTACAGAATGTGGATTTGTGGTGCCTCTGTTTGGAATAACTGTACAGTGGTATTCACCAACATTCATTTTGGATACTGCAGCACCTTTGGAAGAGAGTTTTTGAGGGAAGCACTACTTGGTGGATCTCTTTTGTGGTATGTAATGCAAGATTTGAAGTACTTAACTAGTCCACTGAAAATTATCTTGAAGGATCATTTTGAAGTAAACATAACCAGCGTATGCCTAGCTCAACTTGGATGCTTGGTGTGAAGTCTTCTCTTCTTGCTGATGATACTGGAAGAAGTTAGGTCAATCCTTGAACTTTTCCAGCAATGCTGTCAAAACCATTTCAGGTCATGCCAAGTTCAGTAAAATGTCTTTTCTTCCCTTGTGAGAATTTCAGTAATAGAGCTATCTGGAAACACCAACTCCAAACACATTTCACCTCATCACAAGACCTGCAGCTGTCATTATCACAGGGTGCAGACATCACCTGATTTCTACTGTTATTACTTCACCATGAAAATGTACAGGTAAGTGGAGCTACTGGTTAATTTGAAGAAAATAAGTTTTCCTTGTGTTGAACTGGAGTACTTTAGCTTTGTGTTTCACCTACATTGCAGCGGTTGGGGTAATCAGGCAGTCTTGTTTTGTCTTGGTCAAAAGTGTGTCTATCCTTACAAGTAACCACTTCCTTGGGGAAAAGGCCCAGAGTCCATCAGGTTTAGCCATAATTTTCTTGAAACTGTTTCCAGCAGTTGGCTGCTTAATAAGTGTAGATGATATCACAAGGTAAGTATTGTAGCTATCCTCAGGACTTTACCTTATGAATTTGCAAAAATGAAGCCTAGTTTGCTTGTATAAAAGGAACTGATGTCTTGTTGGAGAAACTTATTCTGTCTCTTATAATGAATAAGAGAGACCACAAACCTCGTCATTTTCGTTGAGATGCTTGTTTAGGTCATTATGAATTTATGGGGGTGCTGGTAGAGTGGTAACGCCTTTGTTCGCAAGCTT